GAATCTTCCTTCTCCACTAAGAATAGGGCTTTGCACACAGCAACTTTCTAAAATGTATGTTGCTAAATTTAAAAAAAAAAGGTAAAAATGTGTCATAAAGTGCACATACATTCATGACTACTTCTTATAATTAACCCATTTCTATGCCTAATCTAGGCTCGCTTCCAAGCACAGCTACATTCAGAAGCAGCAGAGATGGAAGGAATAGATGAGTCCACTCTACAAGTGAGTTGAGTAGACAATATTTCTAATTTCTGTTGATGAGACACTAGATACCAGGAAAAATACCATAGATATGAACAGTGGTTATCTCCATGATCAAAACAGAATTCTCAAGAAATGCCCTAAAAATGAATATGACAGATTTTTTTCTAAAAGCTCAACAAATTATTTTGGTTTGACTGATATCTAATTGGTGAATACCCTTAGAAAGTCTAGATCTACCCATCCCTGGGTCTTAAATAAACACTTGCTCTCTAATAATAATCACATATTGCAACTCAGTACCAGTTCAGACCAAATGCATACATAGTTAGGAAAACCTGGGTAAGAATATCTAAGAGTGGCATCAGAAAATGTTAGTTCTCAGGGTAAAATGTAGGAAAGTTCTTATTCAATTTGGGGGAGTGCAGGGGGGACAGTATACAATTATTGCCTATTAAATTAGGTTTTTGTGGCTTTAATTAATCCACCGAAATAGAATTCATAAAGAACAGAAACACAGAATATTTTGTAGTGAGAAATGCCAGTTTCCTCAGTTCTGATTTCAAGCTGCTACAAATTACCCAAATCATTACTTTCTGATGAATAACCAGGCAAGTATCAACATCTACTGGGTACGTAGATCGCATAAGAGAGAAGGGGGCGAGGGTATGCTCAGTGGTTAGAGCACATGCTTAACATGCACAAGGTCCTGGGTTCAATTCCCAGCACCTCATTAAAATAACTAAATAAATAAACCTAATTAATTCCTTCCACCCCTACCCCACACCCCAGAAAACAAAAAAGAATAGGAGAACTGCTTTTCCTAGAGAAGCTTACAACAGAGGCCACCATCGAAAGCAAAACACAGATTAAAAAAAGAACATGAACCTGCACTACTGAATGGGTTCAGTTTATAATCTGTTAAGTAGCACTAACAGGCATTCTGCAATACCGTGTAATGAGCACTAGACTCAGGGAGTTGAAACGTTTTTAAACCAATCTGTAGGACTTTTTGTAGTGTTTCCATGAAACAGCCCAATGTTCTCATATTTTACTTTTATACAAGAAACAACTCACAAATGATTTTTATTTTTTCTTCTACTTCTAGGCTTTGGTCTCATTTCCCCCTGCGGTAAATTCCTTATTTTAAATTTAAACCAGTGCTCTACTAAAATGAAACGGCACAAAAGTTGCATATAAGTGGGAGAAATACTAGAGATTTTAGAGACAACAAGGCATATACAAACAAAATGAAAATCTGTATTGCAACCTGATCTCAATTACTAGCCCCCAAATTTACCAGCCCAATACTTGTTATTTCAAACTGCTCATCATATATTAGTCATATATCCATAATAAAATGTTTATCATCATTGTCTCATACCATTAAAACTCTGTTTATCAAGTTTCTATGTTTCCCCAAAACATCAAAATGCCTGAAAATCCATTTCTGACAGTTCTAATTTTAGTTTACTTACTACTGTGGTTAACTCCTGCCAATCACTATTTCTCTTTTTAGTGTCTAATTTTCTAGGAATGATAAAATCTAAAATAGTATTACTAAATTTTAGCAAGAAACTAAAAAAACCAGTATCAACTCATGTCCAAAAAAGAAGGCACTGAAAGATTAACAATACTGATTCTGAAAAGTTCAAAGTATCTACCGCTTTTTAAAATGAAAAATAATGATGATTTGATAACAACAAAATTACAAGAACAAACATTCTAATCCTCTTAAATGTCTAACATTCTTTTTCCTATGTCTTTTGATTAATTTGGTCTTTAAGAAGAGCAAGACCACCGAAGCTTTTGGAAGGGCTTTCCATCTTAAGAATAAAAAAAAAAAAAAAAAGAAAAAAGCACTGATTTCAATCCATGTTGGGGTGCAATCTTAGTGTAAATCACAGTACAACACTTATTAACAATGTAAATAAAACCACTTATCATCTTGTTCCTGGAGAATGTGATATAGATCATTGATGCACAGTAGGACAGAGGATTAGTAGGATTAAAAACCAAGTATTACCAAATAAAACATAACTTAATCAGAACTCATAAGCATTTGCTTTGTAACTACAACACCAGAATCTGACTTCATGAGAGTGGTTATATTTGAAAATAACTATCTCCAACATGCCTAGAGATACAGTGTGCAAATTTACTCTTGAATCCTCACGACCCTAACAAAGGGCACTCTGCAGGCACTTGTCTGTCCAGTGAACAGCAGTTAGCCACCACCAGGTACACAGTATCTTGCTATTCTGCCAACATCTGCATATTTAAAGTCAAATCATATATCCTATGTAAATTATGATTTACACCCTTCTGAAGAACATGGTTGCAAAAATCCTTACCAAAATATGAGCATATTGAATCCAGCAATATATAAAGAGAAAAATGCATTATGATCAAGAGGGTTTTACCCTAGGAATGCAAGGTTAGTTTAACATTCAAAAATCAGTCCATGTAATTCACCACAGTAAAAAAAGAGAAAAACAGTATGATCACTCCATAAATAACAGGAAAAGCATTTGATGAAACACCCACTCATGATAAAAACTCTCAGCCAAAAAGGAACAAAAGGAAACTTCCCCAACCTATGAAAGCATCTCTGAAAAACCTACATCTAACATCCTAACAGTGAAATAGTGCTTCCCCCTTAAACCAGGAACAAAGACGTCTACTCCCACCATTTACATTCAACATCGTACCTGAAATCCCAGCCAATGTGAAAAGGCAAGAGAAACAAAGAAAAGGTATACAGATTGGAAAAGAAGTAAAACTCTCTATTTGGCCATGACACAATTGTTTGCATAGAAAATCCTATGGAATCTACAAAAAAAGCTACTAGAATAAGTAAATTAGCAAGTTGCAGGATATGAGGTCAATATACAAAATTCAGTTACAGTTCTATACACTAGCTGCAAACTGGAAAGTGGAATCAGTAGCATCAAAAAAAAAAACAAACCCTCAAAATACTAGGAACAGATGAACAAAAGACACAAAGAGCTCCACCCTAAAGCTACAAAACATTGTGAGAAAAATTAAAGACCTAACAAGGTAGAGAGCTATGCATCAGAAGTTTCAACATTGTTAAGATGTCAATTCTCCCCCAAATTAATCTACAGATTCAATACAATTACAACAATTAATCCATTAGGCTTTTCTGTAGAAACTGACAAGGTGATTCTAAAATTTATATGGAAATGCAAAAAACCTAGCGTATCTAAAGCAATCTTGGAAAAAGAAAAAAAAAAAAAAAACCAGCAAAGCTGAGGACTTACACTACCTGACTTCAAACCTTAACAACAAAGCTACAGTAATCAAGACAGTGTGATACTGGCATAGGGACAAACAGATCAATGAAACAGAATAAAGAGCCCACAAATTGATACACACTTACGTGGTATTTGATTTTCAACAAAGTGCCAAAGCAATCTAACAGGGAAAAGAAAAATCTTTGCAACAAATGACGCTAAAATAACTGGATATCCATAAGGAAAAAATAAATCTCAACTCCCACCTCATACTACACACACTTACTAATTCAAGATGGCTCACATAACTAAATGTAACAACTAAATCTATGAAATTTCTAAAAGAAAACAGAATATTTTCATGACTTGGGATAGGCAAAGGTTTCTTAGAGGCTACAGAATGCAATAACTATAAAAGAAAAAAAACGCCAAGTTAGATGAACTGGAAAGCCACAGACGGGGAGAAACTATTTGCAAAACATACATATGACAAAGAATTGGTACCTAAGTTACATAAAGAACTCCTACAACTCAATGGTCAAAAAATGTGAACAAACACTTCACAAAGGAAAATACACAAGCGGCCAAAAAGCACAAAGAAAAATGTTCAACATCATTAATCATCAGGGAAATGCAAATTAAAATGACAATGAAATACCACTAATCATTCACAAGAACAGCTAAAGTTAAAAGACTGGTAACACAAATGTTAAAAATACAAAGCAACTAGAACTCTCAAACACTGTTGGTAACCTTCTGGAAAAAAGTCTAGCAGTTTCTTACAAAACTGAACATACACCTATGTGTTTATGATCCAGCCATTCCACTCTTAAATATCTACTAAAGAAATGAAAACAAATGTTCTCAAAGAGACCTGTACACAAATGTTCACAGAAACTTATTCAAAACATCAAAAAACTGAAAAAAAGCCCAGATTTTTATCAACATAAGAATATATAAACAAACTATGGCATAGT